TATGCGGTTTTGAACTGAAATAGTCATCTTGAAGATCAGTCCGCGCGGCTCACAGCCCTGCCCTTCTAAGACCTAAGCCCCACAGGTCTCTGAGCTACACGGCCGTGGAGATATGCAAACTTCTTCGTGCGGACTATTTCAGGCTTACCTGGTTATCAATGGAGCCACAATAACGTCACTTAAATTTTGTCATCCAACTGGCCATAAGGTGTTCAAAGTCAGGAAAATGTAGTTGTCGAGTTGTTCATATCTGGTGTTCATACGCATGATTTCCAGACATGATGGTCATTAATTGGCCCTCAACCAATGTTATGTAAGATTATGATTGATATGATATATGATAAGATTATGAAGCGAATTACGTTGCGCGTTACGTGACACAAGAAGTTATACATTCTGTCCAGTTATTACGAAAATAAGACTCGTAATCGAATAGCTTAAAAAACGCTACAACTGAGCATACGAATGCAAGTAAGCACCTCAAACTCACGGATAAATATCCAAGAACACCACGAGAAAGTGCCAAAGCACGAACACCTAACGATAGTTGGTTCTGCACACATCCAACACCGGCCGGGCGTCCTCTCGGGAGATTGTAGAATTATAGGGGAGTGTTGTCACGCGAATGGTCCATGACACAATCAATGGCGAAATAAGAAGCATATTTACTAAATAGAGAAATTGTTGTGAGATAGGAAGCTATTACGAACACGGCTGATAGGTAGTAAGGCTCGGGTAAATCTGACGTGAATACATTTGGTGCTGGAAATAATGGCCATTTAACGCCAACTGGCCGGAAAAAGCAATCATCGTGACGTCACTTTCAAATGTATATGCTCTCATGGCTGGACCTTAAAGCATGCTGGGATCAATTATGGTAGCCGCAGCATTTTACGTAAAAACGTTGAGCGCCGTTAGCTGAACAAATACACGCCGAGATAACAACTTGCTCTTGTTCTGTGTTGACTGAGGTAAAACATCTGCTTTTTGAGCTACAGCTGTTATCTGTGTTTAATAGCGGCAAACAAGGTTTTGGTAGGTCCAGTCCCTTTAAATTGTATTATATATCTAGGCATGTCTAATATATATAATATATCTAGGTAGATATTCTGAAACATGCCACATGACATCGGAGTGTCCCGGTAGCTTTTGCAACCCTTCTTTTTTGTGAAACCTGACGAGGAAATAGTAGCATTTTAACCCGCGCACTGATAGGGGGGGGGGGGGGGGGTGATGGAACCATCTCCAAGGTTTGAAGGATACCTCACTGGCATGTAATGCAATCACACCCTTATCTTCAGTAGCCTATGTTGCATCAATGACACGAGCTTTGACGCCAAAAAGGGTTCCTAGCTTTTTCTGTTTTCGGAGCAGCGATGATTTTTCAGAAACACTGCATGGATTTGTACGGTCGGTACGGACAGCGGGCGTCAGCAGACGATGACGCGCAACGCGCGCGGTGGGCCGACATTTTACATTAACGGGGGCAAATATATGCTCAAAACACATGCAAAAATTGCACTTTTGTGCTCAGGCTTAAGCGAAAAACATGCCTGTTTAGTTTCCGTGTCCCTTCCCTTCGAGGGATGGACTTGTATGCATTGTGTTCTAAAGCTGAAGAAGTACGCTTGCCGGTAAGATTTAACGTTTGACCTGACGTAATGAGGACAAGTATTGACCGAACACCATACAAAGCTGCTTCAGTCACGCGATTTCGTTGAGACCAACTCAGTGGTGTTTTCTGCTATGCTCTATCTTCGTTTATCTGGAAACGCCAGAAAGGGAGTCGCACCGACCCCCCCCCCCCCCCCTCAAAGCAGCCCGCGTTATGAAACAGGACGAGACAGGGTGGAGGGCAAAGGAAGCGTCCCACCTTCCGGGGACATTTCGAGAAGCATACGGTGGTGAAATCTCAGGACCATTTGGTCTAATAATGGCACTGGGTAGTGTCACTGGAGCACCATCAAAATATAATAAGAATATATGTTTTAATTGTATTCGAATCCAAATTACGCTATCAACGCTCTGCAACAGCACAACATTTCTTCCTTTCTTGGTAGCCCCAGAGTGTACACCCAAGTCCGCGACAACTGCAGTTGTCACGACCACCGTCGTTATGGCGACAGCGGAATCTGCGAAGGACCGTTGTCAACTCTTACGGGTCAGATGGACCACTTTTCGTATGTTTTATTTAGCATATTGCGGTTCTGAGTGCATAAAAGTGGCACCTCTATATGTATATGGATTCACACAGTAGGTAGATTCACAGATTAGTCGGGTATGAACATAGAGAAGAAGAATAGTAGGATATTACGGCGGGGTAGAGTAGATTCACAGAGCAGTAGGGTATGACCGTTGGTCAGGTAAGATCAGATGAGGGGTTATGCGACAAGATTCGGTCAGCTAACAGGTGCCAAGCCCAACTCTTCAATTTGATCAACACGAAAAGCCTCCCCGAGGTCACACCGGTCCGATGTGGGGTCGCGCAAGAGCTGCCCAGGCCACGCCGGTCCAACCCGAAGTCACACAGGGCCAGCCCGAGGCCAGCCAGAGCGACCAGGGGTCACATCGGTCCGATGCGGGGTCACACCAGAGCGCCCCGAGGTCACACCGGTCCGATGCGGGGTCACGCCGGGGCGCCCTGAGATCACATAGATCCGATGCGGGGTCACGTCAGGGCGACCCGAGGTCACGTCGGACGGCAATGTGCTTTAGATGGGCGGGTTCTTCTTATCGTACTAAAGGCTAACGTATCTCAGCAGATCTGCAAAATGACGTGGATATCGATCACGTGTTCCAACCCTCCAATCGTGTTCCCACCGTTGATGGTTCGATGATCGGTCATATCGGTCATCGGTGATTGCTTGTTAATAATTGATCGGTGATCGGTGATAGGTTGATGATTGGTGATTGTTGATAGATTGATGATCGGTGATAGTGCGATGATCGGTGGTCAGTATTCTTTATCAAATGTGTTTGGGGATTAGTGATGCTTCGATGATCGTTGATAGTGCGATGATATGTGATCGGCGATTGTTTGATGATAAGTGATCGGTGATAAGTGATAGTTTGATGATCGGTGATAGTTCTATGATCAGTGACCGGTGATCGGTGATCGGTGCTTGTTTGATGATGTGTGATCGGTGATCGGTGATTTGGTCACCGGTGATCGGTGATCGTTTGATAAGTGATCGGTGACCGGCTTTGGTTTCATCGTCGTCCTCAGCTAAGAGAAAGTCAATTCCCATCTAAAGGAGCGCATTCTCGACGTCGGACCAGGGTTTTCAAGGCTTATAACGTGCGAAAGGCCCAGAGGATGGAAAAGGCTCTAGCATGGAAAAGGCTCATAAGCGAAGGCTCAAATGCATAATCGTTAATGGCAAAGTTTGGGTAGTGGGCACAAAACAAAACGCTTCAGACCCAGTAAGTACGATGCATCACAGGCGCCTATTCATTACACCACGGTGTTTCGTGAATTACATCCAAGAAAAAAGTGAACTTGTATGCTGAGGTACGTCAACAAACGACGCCGTTGCCTGAAAACCATCAACCATGCCCACGCCAACTGGCTCGATGACGCTTGCGAACAATCAAACGGGGCCATCACCTACTGCTGTGAACAGCAGGCTATCAGCTGACACCGGAGGTCGTGTCTGACTCGCCCCGCAAAAAGCCGAAGTTGATTGCAGCGCACAGTGGGCCAGCAGAGTCGACAGCTGGCCGGTAGGCGGCGCTCGGACTCTGACAGCTGACCGCGGTGTCTGGGTCCTCCGAGACGTCACCGAAAATCGTGACGTCAGCGTCAGCCAATGAAAAAGACACTTACAGACGAGCAGGTGGCCTCGCTGACGGGCGCGGCACGAGGCAGTTGGCCTTGACCGAGGCTGTGTCAGTTTTTTTGCAACTGGGACACGTCGCGGCGCGTGCGCCACTAGCGGCGCACGTGTCCTCTGCAGTCTGTGCCACGGTGCCCCCCGGAGCAGTGGGTCGGTCTCGATATCGGAGCACCTACTGATGGTCTCGATGATCAAAGACCCTCGCGATATGAGGGTCTCACGGGTATCACGCGTACTCGAACTGCAGCCCTTGGGCGAGAGCTGGCACCGTCCCGTGCCTCGGCTTCTGCCGAGGCCCGGTGGCGGGGGCGGGGCGCCTGAGATGTCGGCAGCGGCTGAGAGCGCCGCCGCGGGCTCCTCACAAGCTAGTGGTGACGTCACTGAGGAAAGAGAGCATCCGCTGCAGTGCCCCGACGTTGACGGGAGTAGAAGCTTCGTGCGTTGGAAAGCCACTGAGGACAAGTTACATTGTCGGAAAGTCACTCGGGACAAGTCCGTTGTCGGAAAGCCACCCGGGATAAGTACATTGCCAGAAAGCCACTCAGGACAAATATATTGTCGGGAGGCCACTCAGGACGAGTACATTGTCGGAAGGTCACTCAGGACAAATGCATTGTCGGAAAGTCACTCAGGACAAATATATTGTCGGAAAGTCACTCAGGGCAAGTGCGTTGTCGGAAAGCCACTCGGGATAAGTACATTGTCGGAAGCCCACTCGGGACAGATATATTGTCGGAAAGTCACTCAGGACGAGTACATTGTCGGAAAGTCACTCAGGACAAATGCATTGTCGGAAAGTCACTCAGGACAATGGCATTGTTGGAAAGTCGCCCAGAACAAGTACAAGGTCGGAAAGCCAGTTAGGACAAGTACATTGCACTGAAGGTTTTTCGTGGATGTTTGTACGTGCGGTTTCGTGGCGGCTTGGACTCGCGGTTTCTTGGCTGTTTAGACGCGCGGTTTCGTGGCTGTTTAGACACCCTCCCTTTGGTTCGCGCAGCTCACGTAACATGGCTTACCCCAGCAAACCACTTAAATGGCTTCATGGGCTTTCTCTCAAGCCGGATTGAACCTGATTGCATTGATTCAAGTTAATACTACTGCAGTGATCCGCAATTACAACGGATCCGATGAAAGAATGTCAAAAGTCACATTGTCTCAACGGATAGTTTATTACGGAAATATTGCCTCCACCCTGGACACGCCCGGAAGCGCGACGATAAGTCGCAATGCGGACATTTACCCGAAGAAATGCGTCCATTGCGCTATCCACGTCTGCAGGGACACCGCTATGCATCAGAATACACTTGTGCGCAGCGCATTACGAAAATAACGGCGTGCATTCACGATAAAAGACATCGTGGCAGGTTTTCGAACGCGTTCTTTTGCTCCCTTGTGGTGAGGTGGAAGACCTCTGTAGTGAATGGTAAATTATAGTAAATGGAAGACCTCTGGTCACACAAGAGATAGAACAAACAAACCTGTCTGTGTGCGACGTCATACACTTAGAAAAACGTTAAATAAATATCACTATCACGAAACTTGCTTTGGGCCAAAGTTGGACCGCACATCGTAACGCATTTGGAAACGTCCAAAGGAAAGATGCAGAGCTCAATATCGCCGTTCCACGCGAAACGTGCTCTGCCAAGGCTGCAGCAGTAAGGCACGGGCGACCGCAGCTTCGATACGAAGCCGGTCGGTGTGGCTGCTGGCCCAGCTCCTGATAAATGTTAAGTACACACAAGGCGTATAGAGACACGATAATACCACGGAATATTGGCCTTCGTATAAGGCAGTACGGTGGCACAGTCCGGCGTGACATGCAAATCACGTGATTCCAGAGAACTGTGGTTCAGCACGCTCAACTTCCAATGAGCTCCTCCGCCACCTTATGACGTCATCACCTCGCTTTTTCTCCAGCACCGTAGAGCTACCCATGAGCGACGCTATGTCGTCACCCTTCGTAGACATTATCTACGACGCTTGTGAGTCCACCCTCGCGATGCCCGGCAAACCACTGAATCACTCGACTTCACCTCCATTCTGCCGATAACTCCCCCGGCGACAAACAGCTGCGGAAGCGTTTCCTGTGACGTCACGCCTTTGTCCGGGCGCGGCAGATGATGTCATACTTTGACTTCGTTGGACGTCCTGTTACGCGGCAGCTGCAGGGCCAGCTGTTTGATGACGCTGGAGAACACGGGAGCGCTCATGTTCCTGCTCAGCGTCCTGAGCAGATACCTGCGACAAAGACGGTGTGGCGTTCACACGAGCACTGGACGCGCAATGGGCTGGCCATTTGCAGTTGTACTGTAGGCAGATCAGATCTGCCTGGTATAAAGGACACTTGAGTCGCGTCGTGGGCATACCTGTCACCAGCACCTTGCTCGCCAAGACAGTCAATACGGGACCGGCCACGTCATGGGCCACGCGCTGTCGCCGGTGCTCTGAGCTGCGAGAGCCCAGCGCAGAGCAAATTATGTGCTCGGTGCGACCGTCACCAGTAATCAACCGTCCAGACCCGCAGCGTGTGTTGGACCATGTTACAGGTATCCATGTCACAATTGTTCCTGGGACTCTCAGCGTGGGCTGGACCATGTTACAGGTATCCATGTCACAATTTCTCCTCCGACTCTCAGCGTGGGCTGGACCATGTTACAGATATCCATGTCACAATTTCTCCTGGGACTCTCAGCGTGTGCTGGACCATGTTACAGGTATCCATGTCTCAATTTCTCCTGGGTCTCTCAGCGTGTGCTGGACCATGTTACAGGTACCCGTACCACCAGTACTCCCGGCACCCTCCGTAGGGGACGGACCATCTGGCAGGTACACCAGCCGCCAGCGCTCTCTGACCCCGCGGCGTGACCCCGTCGTTGGTCCACACGCTGCCTGGGTACGCCTATTGCCGGGACGGGATTCCTCCTCAGCCTTGGCACGAGAGGGCTACGTTGGCAATGCACCCAACACCGGCACTCGGACCCCTAGCACGAGTCGGACCGCGTCATGGGTCGCGGTGGCCTGGATTCATGAACGCTTGGGAAAAGCCAAGGTAAACTCACAAACAGTGCTATGACCCCTAAGACCCCCAGCGCGGGACAGACTGCGAACCTGAATGGCGAAGGAAGCTCAAATCTTGATATAGCATGTCAAACCCATTTCCAAGAGAAGCTGCCAAGTTGCGCGTCGGTTTGAACCACAGCCGTCAAAAAAGATAAACACCGGAGTTGACGTGGGGGATGAAAACACACTGAAAGTAGGGCTGCACGTACCCGACGTTGGCACGCCCTCGGATACCATGGACCTCAGGTGGACCCCTCAGGTGGACCCCATGGAACTCAGGTGAGAGACGAACTGACGAACCGACCCGGTCTAGTGCCGTTAGGTGTTTGACAGGTCAGTGAGGCTGACGAGGACACGTGAGCATGAGCGTAGCCACTTTTGGGACTCCAGTAGGTTTTGGGGCAGACTGGTCCGCTCTTGTGTTAGTATCATAGTGAAAAGTATAAAAAATTAACCTAGCGGCGTTTGCGGCCTGGTTACGTCCATGCACATATCGTAATTGGGATCGGACCAAGTGAACACGGTACTGAGCTGGTCAGTTTCAGGCACATTCCGCCCGAAACGGAAGCATGAGCAGTTGTGTACGAGCAAGACGCGCATTGGTGACGATCACAGAGGACGGGGCATGGCGCTGCTATTATTTTTTACATGTCGAATAGGTAGTTTCAGTTTTGTTTAAAGATAACTGCCGCAAAAGGCAGAGGAGGGAAGGGACGAGAAACCGCCAGATATGCCAGGCGACAGCAGCTCCTCAGGAATACCCGCAAAGTCAAAACGCCTCGGAAGGCAAGAAACCAAATTCGCGACAGCACCTCGTGCAGGGAGATGGCCGTTAGTTGACTACTAAAAATATATTTTCGGGAAACAGGAGTGACAAGCCGATTGGCTATTATTGTTTATATTTATTTTAATTAGCGATATAAATATTTGTATTACAATAGTTAGATTACGAACAAATATTGATAGCAATATCTAATATTAAGTGATAACGTCAATTCCTCACCTAACAAGGCTAGCAAATTAGTCAGTCGCGCTCACCAGTCACCGTAGCTACACTGCCTGGTGACGTCATCGATCGCCGGATCGGCGCCATACTTGCTGCCGCGAGCCTGCAGGAGCCGGAAGCGCAGCTTTGGCGAGCACAGGGTGACCAGCCTGTACAGCAGCAGCAGGCTGGCGGAGAACAGGTCACCGAAAGGTTATACAGGCCATACGGGGCATCGGAACAGGGATTTATCAGCTACCGTTGCAGCAGGAGACCGGACAAGACGTTTAAACAGATCGTGTAAAGATCACACAAGCATTCGTGGCACAGGGTAGCCAGTCGATGTGACAGTTGAAACATAGACAGAGAACAGATCACGGAAATGTCATTCAGTCTGCCAGACGAGCCGAGGTCTTAGTTGGTACAGCAGCAGCGGACCGGGGAAGAACAGGTCAAGGAAAGACATAACACTACTTAAGAGAGAGGCTGTGCAACCCATACCGCACACAAAGAGCGCAAAAAGCAGGTCAGGTTGAAGTCATTCTTGTTATCAGAATACAAAAGTCAACAGTCCGTACAAATCCAGAAAATTGGGATAACAGGCCATGTAGAAGCCTTACGAGTCATTCAGTGACACAGGGTCACCGAGCGACATCGCAGCGACTGGATGGCACGGTGACAACAGGTCAGTGAGAAGCCATACGTCTTCGCAGGATTCACCGAGTCACCTGATGTAGCAGTGTGTACACATGTCACCACATAGTTTGCAAGCTATGTTCAGTGGTCAGGCTTATCGGCGTTTCTTCACATTTGTCTAATGATTCAAGCTGCTGGAGCTATCTGTTGGCTCTCTGTGAATTATCCCGCATCGTGTTTGTTATACATTGCAAGCCCGCTGTGACGGCTCGAGAATAATTGCTGAGTTAGTTAACTCAAGTATATACCTCCGGCTTGCCGAAACAAAACGCACGCAAAGAAGGCAAGCGTGGGATGGCAAGTGAGCATGACATGCCCATTCTGCGCTATGAGAGCATGACGTATTCGCTGCCTACCTACACCGCAAACCGAGTCGGGACGGCAATGCTCTAATCAACGCGTCATAAGCGAAGCAAAACTGGATGGCAGGGGACGGCCTACGCCCAGGCCACTCCTTGAAATACACGGAAAACCGCCAACCATTGTTTTACGTGCAATGCACGTGACACCCTAGAGTTACGCAATGTTCTCTGCGGAGAACCCGTTAGAAGCCATCCGCCCGCCACCTGTACAGCCCTTTCCCGGAACGCGTGCGAACGGCGTTCGCCGAGATCGGCGCGCCGCGGCCACGCCGCGAGTCGCCGTCCGCCGCCACCAGACGGCGCCAGTGTAGCCAGATACAGGTGTTCACGGCTCGAGGGCGGCTTTGTCTGCACTGAGGGGAACTGTCTGGAGGGGGAGGGGGAGGGGGAAGGGTCTGGCGGGCGAACCACGCCGTGAGACAGTGTGTGCAGTGCGGTGGCGAATGAGAATTAGCTAACAGGCGTGGGTGTCATCATGTCAGGCTAAAACAACGCGTTTAAAATCAACCCTGTGCGAAGCGATACCGGCGCTCCTTTACGATCATCCTATTTGATCAGCCTTTTTATCGGCGATCCGCCGGCTCGCCGGCCGGGGAGCCTCCATGCCTCAATAACCAACGACCCGCATGGTACCAGCTTGCATCGGGTTCGGCATGCCGAAGCGTTATGCTCTGTTAAGCTCCTTGCAGCGGAGACGCTGGATAAATTATCTTGCTACCGGCCACATCGCTGCGGAAGTGCAGCTAGCTGACGTCGTCAGTGGGGCCATCAGCTGCCTCCCTCCCCCCCCCCCCCCGGAGGAGGGTGACACGTGAAACTCACCTGCCCAGTACGAGGAGGACGATGTACCAGAACCAGACGGTGAGGTAGATCTTGTCGTTGACGACGTTGATGCTGAGCACGCACAGGGCGTCGTATCGCTCCAGACTTCCTCCAGCCCCGTATCGATAGAATGTGCACTTGGTCAGACGGGGGAACATCTGTCGAAAGGCGAGGCAAACGCTCAACAACCCTGACGTCTTATTAGCACTGGGCATACGAAATGTACTCAAGCTAAATTCTTCTGTGCGCCAAGGCAAGCAACTTTGTGCGATTAGTGCGTAAATAGCAGCCATAAGCCCGAGAGACCCCCAGCAGCCCGGACACTTCTGAATCGAAGCAATGTGACAATTTACAAGATCGCTTGACGATGACCATCCACAGCTAACATGTGCCAAACCGCACCAAACCCCGACCTGTGGAGCCGAGCAGTGGCGCTCAGCCACCAGCACTCCCAGTGTGGGCCTCCGCCGGAGTGGCTGGCTGTAGTGTGGGCCCCGCCGGAGTGGCCGGCTGTAGTGTGGGCCCCGCCGGAGTGGTCGGCTGTATTGTGGGCCCCGCCGGAGTGGCCGGCTGTAGTGTGGACCCTGCCTGAATGACCGGCTGTAGTGTGGTCCTCGCCGGAGTGGTCGGCTGTAGTGTGGGCCCCGCCGGAGTGGCCGGCTGTAGTGTGGGCCCGCCGGAGTGGTCGGCTGTAGTGTGGGCCCCGCCGGAGTGGTCGGCTGTAGTGTAGACCCGCCGGAGTGGTCGGCTGCTCACCTGGTCCATCGGGTCTATGTCATCTTCGGCACCGCGCCGGAGGTACCGCACCACCCGCGGACCGTACGACATGAACTGGCCGCTGAGGAAGCTGTCCGTCACCAGCAGCTGTAGCACCACGTTCAGCAGGTTCAGAGACTCGCAGAGCACGTACTTGCATGCCCAGGCGGTGTGCGAGCCCCAGTGGAAGACCAGGTAGTTGACCATGAGCACCTCTTTGATTCGGCGCTGCTCCTCGTCCACCACCACGTAATTGAGCCCCTGCCGAGGCCAAGCGACGGGGGTGAGGCGGCGAGGGTGACCCCAGGCGGAGTGAGTGAAGGCGGGATCAGATAACAATATATATATATATATATATATATATATATATATATATATATATAGGTATGTATGTGAACACCGCGAAATGGTGTGTTTTTACTCGCTCACTGGTCGGCTTTTTCATCGTTTCATTTGGCTTGCTATTGCTGAACAGCACGTGCAACAAGCACGCGCTCCGTTAGTTCGCTCATGTCTCACCATCATAGGCTGGGAAGCAGCGCACTATCTCACCTCCCTCCTTCCGGTGCCCCGATGCTCACCTGCAGAATGCCGCGAACCTTGTCTGTCTGCATCACCTTCCACAGCCAGTGGGGCAGGTAGAAGCTGACCGACTGCAGGAACAACATATACGGTACCCACATGTAATAGTTGTGGTAGCGCTTCTCCTCCTGACCGTAGGTCGGAACCACACGCCGCCTCTGAGCTGCCTTCCAGCCCAGCTGTAACCGAAGGTAACAATGCCATCAGAATCCTTCCAGCACAGCTGTGACCGAAGGCAACAATGACATCAGAAGCCTTCCAGCCCAGCTGTAACCGAAGGTAACCATGACATCAGAAGCCTTCCACCTCAACTGTAACGGAAGGCAACAGTGCCATCAGACATTTTCCGGCCCACTTGTAACGGAAGGATTACAGACTGGCAAGACTTGGCCGACAGTTGCAACGCGACAAGACAACTTCCGGTCAACCCAAAACAGAATGTTCCAGCGTGATGAGGGTCTTCCAGCCATGCCGCAACGGAAGGTTTTAGTGCGATGAGGCGTCCTTCAGCCCAGTCACAACGGAAGTTGGTTAGAAGCAATGGGAGAAGCAGAGGAAACCCCCAGCTGCAATAAAAGGTGACAGTAGGATAACGCGTCTTCCAGCACAGCTGGAAAAGAAGGGAACAGTGTGATGAGACATTGTTCAGTCCACCTGCAACGAAATGTTACAGCGTGATGAGAGTCTTCCAGCCCACTTGCAACGTAGAGTTACGACGCGATGGGACGTCTTTTATCCCAGTCCCAGGAGAGGGCCACATCGTATTGAGATGTCCTCAGGCCTAGCTATTACTGAGCTATGATGTGATATGTTCCCGAGACCAGCGGGAGCGGAAGGCTGCATCATGACCAGACGTCCTCTACCACAGCCGCAACGAAAGGTTCCAGTGTGAAAGGGGTGCTTTGCAGCCCTTAGGATAGAGTAGTGTGATCAGACTCCACAAAGTGTAGAGAAGCCACGTAGTCTTCAAACCGGTCTGTGCCGAACAGCTACCGCGTGATCAAACATGTCCAAGGCCTCTCCCTCAAGATGCTAGAGCACGTCTCTATGAAAAAATCAATTTATCATCTGCCCAGGCGTCCCAGAACTAAATCCTGGGTACACGCTGTCGACATCACGTGAAAACACGATGTTACCCACTAAAGCCCATTTGTGATCAGGGTGTACAAGTCACCCAATGTTTAAAGAAAGTCAGACCGCGTTACTGCGCTCCATTGCGCCCATTACACCCATTGCGCTCACTGCTCTTCGTTGAAGTCTACTTCTCAAGACGGCAGGACCAAGATAGCGGCAGTATAGAAACGTGCATTGCTTTTCATCTACCATATTCCCTCGCGCGCTTCAGTAGAACAGAAACTTTAAACTGGCTTCCTCCAGGGTCGCCAAATCGAAGACACGATAAAGATCCAATGTCTATTGATTATCGCCTTAACGCTTTCTGAAACTGGAATCCTTGTCCTCTACGCGAACGCAACCACCATCTTCGTCGCCAGGTCAGACTGATAAGGCTGTCGCTGTACTCCCAAGGAGAGGATAAGCTATCTTATCTGTGTGCAACGTTGGCTGGGATGCAATGCGCGTCATACGATGTGGTGATGATGCATAGTACCCGTGGTAGTGCACAGAACGACATCCATTTAACCATGGGATGTCAGTCGGAATCAGACCTTGTTGTCCCCATCACGGGGTTTTCCTATAACATTCCATCACATTCTATAACACGGTAACCATCTGTCCATCACACCGCGTATTCCATCACACGGTAACCATCTGTCTGTCAGCCAGTCTGGGCTGCAAAGTCGCATTTGGGGATGCCGCTTTTTCTTCGTCCCAGAAGATTAACAATTGGATACTCGTTCTGTGTCATAGATTGGGGATAAGCGAAGGTCTTCATCAGCCCATCATCCCCTCAACGGCAATCAGTCCCTGAGGCTATAAGTTTTCCTTCATGCGGCTTGTTACGCAAAAGGATATGATAAAGGATAATGGGGCCAATAAGGATAATATAAAGGATAATGGGGCCAATACTTAGGAGCAACGGGCTTTCTCCACCGGGCTATGTTTGCTGGCTAGCACTACTTGAACAGTTATCGGCATATGCAGCTTCTGAGTTCATTAGCGTGGTGTCCATATGATATTGGGTCAAGGGAACGGTACATTTGTATGAGGCACGCCTCCTCGTTCGGCCGTTTCCAGTCACAACACGCTGTTACAAACGCCCCATTAACGTTAATATACTGCTGTCCACCAAAATGCGCCGTCTTTTCTCCAATTCGTCGTGTTTCTCCCGACCGTCGTGTTGCTTTCAACCACAGCACCACGTGCCGCATGCAAAGCAATACCAGAGGTAATTTTCTGCCCTGGAGCTGACTGTTCGTGCGAGTGACTACGGTAGGGGCATTGCAGATGTCCCTGCACGGGTGCGTTCGGGCCTTGACACAAGTTCATGGGAACCCCATGCACGGGTTTCCCAAAATAATTCTTTATGTAAAATGAAGACAGTTCAGAAATGGAGAAAGTAACCTTAGCTATCTTATACTCATCTCAAATATAGATTCATGCACTTTTGTGCAACTTCATGGTGTCTCTGACATGCGACAGCTAAGTGAAGGCCAGAGAA